AATACTGTGACCAAACAGTCCGCAAAATTGTATCAGAAATCTGTTTACGACAAAAGTCGGGTTGATCTGTTAAACGCATTGACGACAGATTGCCACCAAACGCCAAGCAGGTCTGTTCGTGTATACGTGCGGACTGTTTGCAATTTGACGCCAACAGACAATGACCAAACCTATTCCGGATTTTGGCTTCACTTTGGCGATAATTTGGCCTCGCTTTGCTTGTGGCAGACTCTGTCATTATTTTGGTCGCATTTTGACATTTCACATGTTGACAGACATGATTAACAAACCATATCCTACTGAGGACACAGATGGATATGGTTCTGTGACCGAAATGTTTGCTGGGTATACATTGAGAAAAGACAGTATTTGATGTTGAGGTCTAGTAACAAATTATTACCAAAGGTCTATAGTCTTTCTAAAATTTACAAAGACAATTGTTTTCTCAGAATCATTGTCTTTTCTATTGACAGCCCTTTATTTTCTTTTGCTACTTTCATACACAAAATTATTATCAACAATATACATCAACCCAGAAGCTATATTTCCAGCAGTTTTGATTTATTCAAAACGTTCTCAAACGTCAAACTTAATAATTCTGATATTCTCATTTTACTGGACGCTGTTGCTTTTTTCACAAATGTTCCCACTGATTTAGCCATTAATTTAATAAAAAACAGATGGCACCATATTCATAAAAAAACTACCATTTCTCTCAATGAGTTCTCTAATGCGATTTCTCTAATTCTCCCTTCTACATATTTTGTTTTTGACAATGTTATCTATAGGCAGACACATGGTACCCCTATGGGCTCACCGTTGTCTCCTGTGATCGCAGATTTAATCCTACAAGACATCGTAAACAAAGCACTGCACAAGATTAATGTTCGTCTGCCTCTTTATTACAGATATGTATAGATGACATTCCTAAAGTTGACATCAACAGAATTGTTACCATTTTCAATTCATTTCATGAGCGTTTAAAATTTACAGTAGAAGTTGAGAAAGATTGTTCTATCAGTTCCTTGATTTATCAATTATTCATGTTGTTAATCATTCTCTCAAGATCAACTGGTTTCATAAAAAAAACTTTTTCTGAAAGATTTCTATTTTTTTCCCAATCATCCTTTGTGTCATAAAAAGGGAACGATCTACAGTCTTATTGACAGAGCCTTTTCTCTTTCCCATCCAGACGAAAAACAACATTCATTTTTGTATTGATACTTACTTAATAATGGTTACTCGCTTGATCTATTTTTATTATTATTTTTAATTCCATCAATTTCAGAGTAAACAAGCTGATTTCATTTAAGAAATACACTCCTACTCCGAACAATGTGCCTCAACAATCAGATAAAAGGAAAATTTTAGTTTTTCTTTTCATTAACCATTTGTCGAGATTTGTTTCCCATGCTTTCAGAGACTCTAACATCCTTATCGCTTACAATTTTAAATGTCTTAATAAGCTTAACACTTGAGTAAAGTACACAAAGATCATACCGTTCATGATTCGAGCATAGACGTCGTTTATAAGATCTGTTGTAATAATTGCTGTGCGACTTATGTGGGACAGACGAGGAGGCAATTAAAAACAAGAATCAAGGAACACATGTGTAATATCAAAAAAAAAAAAAAACATATCACAATTGACAGTCATTTCTAAACATAGATTAGATTCAGGTCACTCTTTTAACTAGAACAATATCACAATTTTAGACTATGAACATAATTTTTACAAAAGATTAATATCTGAGGTCTTTTTTATATTAAAGAACAATCGCGTGGGCTAAATCTAGTAATAGACACAGATATGCCTGATAATATCCAGATAGCCAACTGAGTGCAAGTTGGTGGCAACTTTCCACAAATAGTGTTCATATGGTTTCAGCAATGTAACAAAAGAGTGTATCCTCTTTTCAGTATGTTCTTGCCAGCAACAGTTTTTAAAATATAATAACAGCAAGTTCTCAACAACTCATCGGCAATAAACTTATATTATTTTTCTCAACTTATGAATAAAAAATATTGCTCATATATTGCTCACATATTGCTGACTTACTTGTCATAAACATTGACTACAACAATTGATTGACAATAAAATTCAGCATATTGATACTTGATTGACAAAAACATGTTCGTTGCATTAAATAAAAACAACACAACAGCAAGTGGCGAGCAACTTAATCTATACAATGATTTGCTTTATATTGAGTTTTCACTTTTGGCTATCTGGGCACATATTCACAATTACTCCTCAAAATCGAAACGTCTCAATTTTGAACTCAACGTTTCATTTCCCCACTTTTCGACTTTAAAGCAGGAGCAGCTATACATATACTTGCCCGTTTTGTTTGTCTCGCTACAGTCTAAATGTCTTTCTCAGATGGTGTAAGTGATTATCATTTTTGGTTTTCTTTGTGATTATTAGTTTGTTATATATACATTTTTTACATTCATTTTATAGATGTGCCATGTTTTTGCATCTATTTCCTAAAATATGTCTGTATAATTGCAAATTACAATTTTAGTGCAAGATTTCGTCACATAATTTTGTAAATGGTTTCCTATCAGGGATTTTAGGAAATAGATGCAAAAACATTGATCTTTTCTGAAATATTTGTAGTTGTTTGCAAAATTACTTTCCAAATACTATTTCGGCAAAAGAATAACGATATGGCGAATCATCTTAGCAGTATATTTGCAAAATTAATTTCACAAAGAAATTGTCCAATAATTGAGAAAAGAAATTCAGCTATGTGATGTTTCAAATATGTAGAAATGATTTTATATGAAGAAATGCAAGAAATCGTCGTCACTCATGATGTCATATTTGTGCAATATTTTCACAAATGTGCCTATTAGGGTTGTTGTAATATATTGTGTTAAATATGTAGCACTATACAATTTTATATATATATATATATGTATATATATACACTGTATACACAAAAAGTTGTGGACAGAAAGGTATATAATGAACATCTTTACATTAATATTTGACTTTAACAAAATCTGGCAAGTGATTACATACACACACAAAATGTAATGTATTTTCATAAATCTCATATTATAGTTCTATTTAGTTAATCTAAATTAATAATATTAAGAGTACAAAATGTAGAATATATAATATACATGTACACACATAAATCAATACATGTCATCATGACTTAGGTCTGGTATATATGAAAAACCTCGCTCTTTGAGAGCTTTATTCATACGTTTTTTTTGTTCTTGCTTTGATTCTTGTTCACGTCTCTGTGCATCCAAAATTTCATCCACTGTTACTTTTTTCAATGGCAAAACTTTTTCTTTTTCTATATCCTGTAAAATAAAAGCATTATTTAAATGTCTGAGCAGATTTATACAAATGTTTTATAATAGTAAATTTACAATATATCTACTTTTATATGTGAATGTTTTTATGTATATAAGAATAAAAAAACAGCTTACTATTTCTCCTAAAAGAACAACATTTTCTCCTCTCACTATAAAAATACCTCTTGGAATATCACCATATTCTTGACCAACATAAATTCTTTCAATGGTTTTTTGGAGTACTATATTAGCAAATTGATCAACACTTTTGAGATACCCAATTAAAGTTCTGCCATCTCTTAACAAAACCATAAGTTTTTCTAGACAAGAAATAATTGATATAAGTGTAACATGACCATAAATACATATATTCTTATGATTAACATTAAAGAAAGGAATCTCTATTCAAACTATAAGTAACATAAACATACCCTGATAGCCAAGCATGTTTTGCAAAATCATGTAACTTAATGCTGAGCTGAAGTTTTCAATTAGTTGCTGTGTATTTGCTGAAAACATGATGCATAGTCATACGTAATCGACAACACAAAGACAAATTTGAGACATTGTGTGTCAGCAGATTCAGAGCAAACGAAGAGCAACTATTGCTCATTACGTTGTCAACAAAATGACTTTTATTTATAGAAAACTCTTTGCTTTGTCATTCGTTTTCGGCAACATAAGAGCAACATGAGCAACAGTAACAAAACAAGACACCAATTTCTGTACTTCTATCGTATGGTTGGTAAAAACTGTTGACATATATTTATTTTATCTTGTAGCCCATTAAATGTCAAAAACGAATGACCATCTTTTAGAATAAGTAGACAAAAATAATTATATTTTAGTAAGGAACAAGTGGTCTCGCGGACTGAGTGCAGGGATTGCAAATATGAAAGTTTCAAGTTCAAATCCCACCCATCACCTTAGAATTTTTTCCGTGTCTGGTACCTTTCATCGAGTTAATCAGTTGATCGACGAACTAAATCAGATCTCCAGAGATTAATTTGAGTGAAATCTCGAATTAATTAATTCCCCTTTCACAAAGCGATGTATCAGTGAATATATATTTGTCCGTTTTCGATATATTGTATTTTCGCTTAAATTTATGACACGTGTTTTTGGCAAATTGTTGTCATGTTGCTCTTTATGTTAGTGATAAACCGTTGACAGCAAATACACAACAAGTTGTCGGCAACACATGTTGAATACGTGGCATGGCAAACCGAAGACAAATGCCTGACTCACCTTGTTCTAAATTTGTTGAAAACTCAAGCGTTTTGTTTTCGGCAACATGACAGCAAAAACACAGACAGGTGGCTATCAGGATATACTTTAGTTACAAAATTTTTTACTTTTTATTAAACCTCTAAGACAGATTTTTGTTACAACTCATTATCTTTATACATTTGATTTGTAATTAATTTTTAATTTATTAATTTTTATATATTTTGTAGTTTTTTGTTTTAATATAATCAATATACTTCAAACGTTACAAGTGTATTAAAATTTGAAAACTTTTTCTAAAAAATATAAATTGATCAAATAATAACGTAAACAATCAGATAATACTAATACTAATATTAATTATATATATATGCTTGTTATAATTCCATACTTTCGAGTTCTTCGAGTAAAGACGCTGTCCCTGGTGGTAATTCGTTAACTTCATTCATTGTGAATTCTAATGAAATAAGTTCCTATTACTAGTATGAGAATAAACACGTATTTTATATAAATCTTTTAACTGTGTCTCTCTTTTTTTCATATCTAATATATAAAATCGTTTTGGGTTCACTTAAGTTACAAAGAGTGTTTTCCAGTGTAGTAACATAGGTTTGGTTTGGTGCAAATATGCTTCAGAAGACCGATTTAGATTGATCCATACGCTATTTTAACGACTATTCATAAGTGTTGAGTAGCAAAGAGAAGCCTGAAAGCGGCCATGCCATTGGGTGCGTTCAGACAACTCAACGGTTGAGAGATCATCACTTATGATAGGACTATTCTTCAAAATCTGCAGCGGTTCCAAAAGTATGATCCACTTAGAAGTGATTATCTCTCAACTGTTGTGCAACTGTTGAGTTGTCTGAACGCACTCAATATTAATGGGAGCCAGAGAGAAGCCTGAGAGCGGCCATGCCATTGGGTGCGTTCAGACAACTCAACGGTTGAGAGATCATCACTTATGATAGGACTATTCTTCAAAATCTGCAGCGGTTCCAAAAGTATGATCCACTTAGAAGTGATTATCTCTCAACTGTTGTGCAACTGTTGAGTTGTCTGAACGCACCCATTGTAGTTTCTTACGACGATTTCAACCGCTGGTTTTAGCCATATTTCCACAAAAGTGGAACTCAAAGGCCGTTCTCTATGAAACTCAAATTACAGGTCTCGTGGAACTGCTCAATCACGTTAGTCGATTGGCTGATTTGACTCTGCAATTGGTCAATTCCACGAGATCTCCGACTTGCGTTTAATGTAAAACGGCCTTTAAGTTCCACTTACGTGGAAATACGACTAAAACCAGCGGCTGAAACTGTCGTAAGAAACTACAATGGCATGACCGCTCTCTGGCTTCTCTCTGTTGAGTAGCATTTCCCTAGTTGGTGTTTGAGAACAGGGTTGGGTTATTCGAGCATTTTCTAGAGGTTTTTACATTTTACTGTTTTTTACGGTAAAATACGTATAAAACGTATAAAATACATATGTATAAAACGTATACTATTTATCAAAGTATAATATTATGTTTGTAGAAATGCAAATTACATTTGTCAACAAATTTTTTAAGCTTGTTGATTGCATCAGAGAGAAGCCTGAGAGTGGCCAGGCCCATAAGAGTTTTTACGATCGCTATTCCGGCCCGTAAGCTAGCGCATGTCCATGGGTGGTGCACATTGGCAACTACGTAGCGATGTCCACGAGCGACTTGTCGATACGTACGCTATGTC